TCTGCCGGGGGGTTGGATTTCTTGTGGGAAAACACACGGATCAGGCAATTCTGTGGTTTGAGCTGGGGCTGTGCTTAGAGGTGGCAGAGAGTCCTGTTCCCCGGAGCTAGAAGGACATTTCTTTGCTTTATTCCTCTTCTTTTTCTGTTAAAAAAAAAAACAAAACAGAAACAAACACCACAATGTCTGTTTATTCATTGTCAAAGAGAAATTCTTTGTCACTTCCTCCGCTGCAGCAAGTACCGACATCTTCCTGCAGCCCTGGGTAAACAGAGAGCGACCAGGAAGAGGAGGGACGAGAGCAGCTGGTGAAATGCTGATAACCCTTGGGAATTCTGCAGGTTTAATATTCCAGCCTTGCTCAGCAGGAGCACGGGGCAGTGCTGCAGTGGATGGTGTGCTGTTCCCCAGCAGCACGGGCAGTGCTGGGGGAGCTGCAGGCCCAGCACAGCAACGTCAGCAAACACAGCACAGCTCCCTGGAGGAACCCGGGCAGCAGCTCCCCAGCGTGGCCACGGGGACCTGCAGGATGCAGCCCAGCCCCAGAGAGGAGAGCAACAAGCCACAGCTGCTCCTCAGCACCGAGCAAGAGCCTCACCTTCCTCTGTGATGTCCCAGCAGAGTCACCAGCCCCGCACTGAGCCGTGGGCTGGGAGCTGTCACTTGGAGCTGTCACATCCTCGGGTAGTGATGATCCCTCTTCCCCCTCCTGTGTTTCAGCAGGGGGAGGAGCCCCACCTGCAGAGCATCCAGGTGTGGTGTCTGAGGGGTTGATCAGAGCCCTTGCATTATCCACCAGCAATTCTCCCTCTGCCTCCTTTTTCTCAGTGGTGGAAGAAGGCCTGGCAGCACCTTCTCCCTTCACCTCTGATCCTGCATCAGGGACTGGAGAGAGCTGCACCTCTCTTCTCTCTGCAGTGGAGGCAAAGTTCATTGTTAAACTAGAGACTCACCCCCCAGCGGGGTCACAGAATGGGCTGGAAGGGACCTTAAAGCTCATCTTGTTCTACCCCCTGCCATGGGCAAGGACACCTTCCACCAGACCAAGCTGCTCCAAGGCCATGGATGGGGGAGAAAATAAAAAAAAAATAGTAACACTCATGGGTTCGGTTTAGAAAGACAGTTGAATAGGACAGAAAAAGGAAAGGAAAATTATGATAATAACTAGAGAATATAGCAAGCAAATGATGCACAGGGTGGTTGCTCACCACCCACCGACTGATGCCCAGCCAGTCCCTGAGCAGTGGCTCTCACCCCCAAAGCCAAATCCCCCCAGTTTTTTGTTCAGCACCACGTCCTGTGGTCTGGAACATCCCTTTGGGCATTGGGGTCGCCTGTCCTGGCCGTGCCCCCTCCCAGCTTCTTGAGCCCCCCAGCCCCTTGCTGGCCAGGCAGTGTGAGAGCCTGAGAAGTCCTTGGCTTAGTGTAAGCACCACTCAGCAGCAGCAGAGCCAGCAGGGTGTTATCAGCAGGATTCTCATCCTGAACCCAAACACGGCTCTGCAGCAGCTCCTTGGAAGAAAACTAACTCTGTCCCAGCCAAAGCCAGGACAGGAACACAGAGGAGCTGTTTTGTTGCTCCCTGTCCCACAGCTCCCACCAGCAGTGCCACCACTCCCCCTGCTCAGCCTCCTGCCCCAAGGCCCTGCCAGCAGCAGAATAATTAAGGACACACAGCACTGAGGTCCTGCTCCAACCCTGCCTCTCCTCTGGACACGCTGCCTGTCCCAGTGCTCACAGACCCCCAGGACCAGCAGTGACAGGACACTGGCTCGTCTCAGCTGTCACAGCTTCTGGGCTGGCTGTGTGACCACTCCCACCCAGCTGAGTCCCTTCCAGGGAGGCAGGGGAAACTCCCTTTTAATCTTCATAATTTTATCTGGTCCTTAAAAAACCTGTGAAAATGCAGCTCAGGGTCAAGTCGGGCAGCAGAGCAGATCTCTGCCTTCTGCAGGGGTTTCACAGGCTCCTCTGCACAGCCTCTACCCCAGTTCTGAGTGCAAAAGCTTTGAACCTCAGCTGCTTTCGATGCCCTTCCTACAGCATTTCAGAGCTGGAGACCCCAGGTTTGTTGCCCTGCCCTGCTGGACTGCAGAGGGATTTGCCAAGAACTGATTTATCAGCACTGCACTCTTAAGATACCACTTCTTCCTATCAACAAACCAAAAGCCATTCTGTTGGCCCAGGACATTCTGCCTTCAACAAATAAAGGATTAGGAAATATTTTCCCCACCATAACAGTGCTGTGCACTTAATTCTGCCACTGTTCAGAAAGTAGGAATTAGTGTGTTCTAAACATAACAACAAGACACAAGCAGGATACTCTGGTTCAAGAGGGACTCAACCAGCCTTTGTAACACAAAAACCAGTCCCAGTTCATTGGCAAAACAGAAACTAGTTCAACACTGGAGACCTGTGTGTGGAGGCTGTGTGTAGGATGTGCCAGCAGCTGACTCACTTCTCCGTCCCCCATCAGTCACTGCAAAGTGAGAAAAACTGTCTCTGGTCAGGAATGCAAGGGGAGTTCGGGCTGAGAGTTCAGGATGAGAGCTGTGTAATGCCCTGGGCAGAGCAGAGCCTGGAGCCATACAGGCAGCTGGGATGAAAAGCACCGGGACACCGCCAGCCTCTGGTCACTGTGCAGCCCCAGGACACCCCAGCACCGGCCCCAGCCCACCCCACACCTCCTACCTGGGTCCTGGTCCCCAGGGACGGCGCCGGGAGCCAGCCTGGCCCCACACTTGCTGCAGGAACCGGGCGGACCATCCCCAGAAGCGAAGTGACACACTTGGCACTGCATGTTCCTGGCCGCAGGCCCTGCGGGGACCTTGGGAGCCACGAGGGGAGAGAAGGGGACAGGGCAGAGAGAGAGAAACACCGACATTAAGGTGTGATCATGGGACTTCGTCACGTCACGCTCAGCCTGGCTCCGTTTTATTGTCAGGAAACAACCTGTGACACCGGAGAGCGTGGGGGGGGAGAGGGGGGGGAACCACAGACGCATTAAAAATAATTAAGTACAAACAGCAGCTCCCGCCTCGTGCAACGAACGGACCTGGGTCACACCGCGCTCCCTGCCCTGCCCGGGGCCCGG